AAAAGAAATTGTACACATTAAATTAGTAGATGTCTTTTTTTTTTTTTTTTTTTCATGAGAGAAAACAAATTTTAGAAGGAATATTGATATAATTAACATACTTCATATGTCAAGGGTCCACGTTTTCAACCAAAAAAAAAAATTTATTAGGTGAGAAAAGACCCACAACTTATAACTTGAAAACCATCCAATCTCTTTTTGATTGGATTTGCGACACTGCACATGCTTCTTTTTAAGTACTAATCTAGATTATGTACATTGAACCAATGTGAAATTAGTTTTAAATTCCAGCTTTTTTAGTTATTTGTTCTAATATTCGTTAATGAAAATGATAACTTTGTTTGATATCATTTAGCCCTTGGAACCTCTCGCTTTATGTAAAAAAAATATAACTTTGAGGATTTTTTTTAAATGAAAAGCAAAATTCTTACAAAAAAATAAAAATTTTAATTTGAAATAAAAAATTTTATATTCTTATAAAATTTTCTTAATTACTATATCAAAAAATGGAAGACAACTTTTAGAATTTAAATCCTAATACGAGGATTATATATCTATCGCACATGATTTATAAAATCGATCAGACAAATGATTTCATAAAAAAAAAAAAATCCATATTTAAAGTTAAATAGATAGACGAGGGCGATGCTACTAATCGAAGGTTGACTTTAATGGTACAACATGTGATTTGTGGGTCCCAAGGCGAAGGATACTCTCAGGAGTCAGGCAGGAGGAATGCCAACTTGTCTCAACGACTTTTAACAGACGGACACGTAACTGAAATGCCATGTTCGAATGTGCTTTGGACCTTTTTTTTTTTTATTTTCTTTTTTCCCCTGTTGTTTTAGGAGAGAATCAGATATTGTGAATCTCGTGAAAGTTAATTGGATTATTGATTTTCTTTCGTTAAAAAACACAATTAAAGAAGGTAAGAGAGAAAAAAAAAATCAAAATCTTGAATCTTGATCTTTCACTAGAAACCACTATATCTATAAGAAAGTTAATACTTGGTCTATATATTAGGTCCAAGTTTTAATTTAAAGTTAAAAATAATACTGGTTTTGATCATTATCCTTTTTTTTTTTTCAACTTTTCTCATTTTTTTTTAATGAAAGTAACCATGAGAAATTAAAATTCATATTTATATGTATTAATTAACATTGGTTTGTGAAAAAAAATTAATTGAGTTCATAAAAATCGAATATTTTATTTATAAAATTTAATAATTTTCAGTAGTCTTTTGATAAAAGATTTAAAGTCCAATGTAAATTATCGTTGAAACTTATAATATGTGTTGATCCTAAAATAGAATAATTTCTCCTCGCTCAAATTTTTTTAATAGTTAAAAAAAATTAATATTGGTCTAAAAATAATTTTTTTACATGTGATGTCATGAATTAAATTCTATCATTAAAATTAATAATCCACTATTCTATTAACATATGTTGACAAAAAAAAAAAAGAAACTATTTAAAAAGTGAATACGTATACTTTTTCCTTTTTCTTTTTACTATATTGGATTTTAAAATAAAGTTAAGCATTCGATATTAATTTATTAGTTAAGATAAAAAGAGACTTTTACTCTTTTTTTGTTGTGAAAAAGAGTTAGTTTAATGAAGGTTGCAGACTAGTAATGGAGGTAGCTAGAATCATGGCTTTGATGCAAGCCAGGAATCTAGGCTTTTGATATCAGAAATTTAGGATTTTCACCACCTAACAATTGCCATTGACTCTATAAGTTAGTACCTTTTTGGAAGATGAATGCCAAGTACTCGTGATTAAAGGATATCACTGTTTAATAAACGAAGGTGCTAAAGAATGCTCTTTGGTTTTGGCCAAAAAAAAAAAGGATTGTTTTTTGCTTATGATTTTTCTTTCTTTTGTCTCCGTTTGTACACAAACAATTATTATTTTCATCATCATATTCATATCTTTTTTAATTTATCACATAAAATTAATAATATATTTTTAAAAAATAAAATATTTTACGAATCAAATCTTAATCATTGAAATTAGAAATTCATTAATAAATCATTTAGAGTGTTAACAAAATTTAAACTTAAAATTTTAATCATTTCATCAACTTTTGTTTTACAACTTTTCATGCAACTTATTAGGGAAAAATGATTTCACATTTAACAATAAAAAATTAAATTCTTTTTTTTGGTAAGAAAAAAATTCATGGGTAAAATAAACTGTTCACAGTCCTTCAAGTCAGGACAAGATGTGTCGTATCTGATAGTTTAAACAAGTGATTGCATGTCAAGAAGATCTCAATAAATAACTACCAACAGAATTCGAATTCAAGACTTCTTCGTCGAAAAAAAATGATTTTAATCGATTGAACTAATCACGTAATTGAATTGTAATTTTATAAATATGAGCCCTTGCTATCTTATGGAAGCTCATTTTTCCAAAAGATAAAATATGAAAACAAGTTTTTTAAATTTTTACAAACGATTATATTTTATGGCGGATGCATTCTAATAATACTTTTATTAATAATGTTGATTGTTAATTCACTACAACTACTTGGTAGCTAATTAATTTTCTAATCTATTTATGGGGATTATTAGTTGAGAAAATATTTAATCTATAATATTTTATTTAAAATGTGAATTTTGTTGAGAAAAAAAAATAATATTGATCTTTTATAATTATAATATAAAGCTTAAAAAAGTTGGCTAGTACTTATTAAAGAAGATTAATAGGGGGGCATACTTTTCCATTTTCGGAGAAACGATCCAATTAAAGCATTCAAGTGGAACAACTTTTCAAAAACTTAAAGAGGTATGGATGAACTTGCCCATCAAGTGGTACCCTTGAACTGGCTAAAATCTTGCTGAAAAGTTCAAGCACTTTCTTTCTTTTTTTTTCCTTCTTTTTTGGCTTTTAATTTTCAACTTTAACAATCAAAAAAAATTTTAATTAAAGAAAAAAAAGAAAAATGTGTGTATTTTAATTCTTGGCTTGTAAGTAAGGACTTGGGCAAATATTTTCACAGCTGCGTTCCGAAGACATGGAAACCCACTTTTTCCACTGAGTCATGCTTGGACTTTGGACTTGTTGCTTCCTTGAATATGAAATGGGATGTTGACACGTGGCTATTCATTTGCGTTGCCGCCTTTTTCCTGTATTCCCTCCTCGAGTAGACAGACGCAAGCAAACTGATTGACAAGTCAGCACCGTTTTTATTCTTCAATTTGTCAATGCTTCCAAGGGAAATGACCTGGAGCTAGCTAGCTAGCTAGCTCGGCAAAAATGAAATCCTAGACTTTGCCTGTTAGATTCTGTTAGGATTTGGGACTGGATGATATGAAACCCAAAATTATTTTTGTATATACGAGGAATTAAAATTTTAATATTTAAATTTATAATTTAGTTCGCTTTGATTATATATTTATTTTAAAAAATAATATTTAATGGATTTCAAATTAAAATTTTAATATTTATAATTTTTTTCATCTTTAAATTACAATTTTTCTATATCAGAACATCAAACAGTTAATATTTCAAAAATAATTAAAGTGCTATAAAATTAATCTTAAGAGAATCATTATTCATCATTTGATAGTACTAATCTATGATTAATCAACGAGAAACAAAGAAAAAATGTTCAATGCAGAAGCTCATAATTATATGAACAACAATATCAACTATCGTTTTTGTTTTCCTATTTTAATAATGGTAAACATCCTTGCAGGCGCCCATTAAACAAGGCCAGGCCAGGCCAGCTGTTAACCAGATTGTCAAAAATTTGTTTGTCCTCTCAATCTCATGACTAAGGATGCGTTTGGCACCACCTTACTGTAACTGTAAGGTGACAAATCTCATCATTAAGGATGCATTTGGCAAATGGTAAGACGGAGGAACTCTTCCTATGACACTGACTCCTTTTATTTTTTTCAAAAGTGACTTGAAGACAGACTTCCAAGATGACAATTGAGAAAAAAATAAAGCAAAAAACTTGTTATCTGTTGATGAAAATTCTACTTGGGTACTTGACTGGAAGCTTTATCCCCAAATCCCACCTCCACAAATAGATGTAAATTGACAGTCTTTATATAAAGTTTTTGGCCTTCGACTTCATTGAAATAGACGATGAGATTAATTGTAGTGAAATTAAAAAAAATATATATAATTATAATTTAAAAAAATTAATAAAAAATTAATATTAATTTGATTTTATTTAAATTAATATTTAAATTTAATTGGTGATGTAATAAGTTTAATTACATTGTATTAAAAATATGATGAAATCCAAACAAAACTTATTTGAATTTCTACATCCCTCTTATTTCATCACATTTTGGAGTGAACTAAATTAATTTTAATTAGTCATTCCAATTTATATCACTATAATTTATCAATAAAAATGATAAGTTTTCAAGCCGATGTTTTCATTATCAAGAAAATAATTTAAAAAATTAGTATTTTTATTTTTCAAGTTATGATATTGGAGTTTAAATTTAAAATCTTTAATTTTTTTTAATTTTTAATATATCTTTGAATCCTTTAATTTTATACTTATTTAATTAACAAAAATATTACGTAAATAAAATTTTTCGAATTTAAAAACTTCAAACATTAGCTTTAATATTATGTCAATTTATCTAAGTAAAACTAGTATTCTAGTATATAAAAAGTTACTAGATGTTTTTCAATAATTAAAAAGTTAAAATAGGGAAAATATAAGAAGTATATTGCAAAAATGGTAAAAAATGATAGGTATTTTTGTTTTGCCAATGTTGATCATCAAAACACAGCAAAGAACATGAAGAAATCTACGTTCACCCGCAAAATGAGGCAGCCAAAGCCAAACCGTTGGTTTTCCGCGGCTTTAACACTGTACTCTTGTTTATCCCCAAAATACCTTCCAATCCTAATATCCAATCCAACGCCCGAAACCACAGGCCATTATAGTAATTCAACTAATTGCAGTTGGTAATTATATTAAAAAAACCGCCGCGAATAATTTTTTTAGCGGGAGAATAAGGAAGTCCAACGTGGCAATAATTTCTCTGTTTCAAATTTTCTCTTTCTCTATAATCAGCTCCTTCTATTTTTCTTTTCCTTCGCATCCTTTAAGACTGAACCTTTTTCCTTCTCTGAAACCTCTCAAATTCCTTTCGGTTTAGCTTCTTTTCTTTGCTATTAATACACACCCATTTTAGCTTTCTCCTTGTTCTCTTCTGCCTCTTTCTTTCTTTTTATTTTCTTGAACTGAAAACTTAAAAAAATCTGAAATCATGGCTTTTTCCCTCAAAAAACCAGCTTCTTTTGTTTGCTTCTTGGGGGTTTTAATATGCAGATTACGGTTGTAACTTGAAAAAGAAACTTTTCTGTTATCTGTTATTATAACCCTGATCATATATCTTCCTCCTCGTTCCACAAAATCTTTTCATTCTTCAAAAGAAAAAAAAAAAGAGAACAAGACCAGCCTTTCGATTTTGATTCTCAATATGTTTGACTTGTTGTTGAAGCCAAGGTTCTATGCAAAATGGTTAGACATACAAAACCCAAGATTGCTTCTTCCTTCTTCTTTTTTTTTTTGGCATTAAACTTAGGTACTTTGGGTCTTTTCTTTTTTGTTCATTGTATTTGTTGTTTGATTGGATTTTTCATTTTTTTTATTTTTTGGTTTAGTAAATCGGCATTAAGGATGAACAAGGTGAGACTTGAGACTATAAAGAAGAAGAGAAATGCGGTGGAGAAGTATTTGAAGAATGACATCGCTGACCTTCTCAGGAATGGTCTTGATTACAATGCTTATGGAAGGGTAATTACTTTATATAAATTTGGCCTTTTCTGTTACTGAATGATTTCTGCATTAACTTTTTCTAACAAAGGCTGAAACTTGAGTTTGATAATTGATATTGATGATGTTGTCATTGTGGCCAAGAATAACGATTAGTCATTGTTTTCTTAATTCCCTACTTCACATGCAAAATAGGTTTTAATGTTAAATTTTTTATGATCTGATAGCTTGAATTTTCAACAACAAAATGTTTTTCATGATACACAACCCCCAGAAATTTTGTTTTCTTGCTTGCTTTGTTTGTGTTGGCATTTTCTGGAGTATATTTATGAAAATTTTTTAGTATTGTTAATTCCAATTTTTTCCCATTCGTTGTTTGTCTTTAAGCATCTATTTGATCGAATCCTTCCATTGTTTGCTTCTCCAGAGATTCATGGCATCCTAATAAGTTTTGGACTTCATTAATTTCAGTGCCTTGTTTCTTGCTTTCATAATCCTTGATATAAACCCTCACCTTTAGGCTTTAGGAAATACTTTGACACAAATATACGCCCAAAAAAAAGTGAAACAGCAAGGGGGTGGAGGAGTTGTTAGAACGGGAACAAATTATCGACCAGGTGTTGGCATTACCACTGTTGATTCACATGTTCCTACCATGCCATTAATGAGACAGAATTTAATACCCTCCTCTTTCATGTGCTATGTTGTCTTCTGTTCTCTCCCTACTTGTTTTGGCTAAAAATATTTTGTTTCTCGTTAGGAGTTTTAATGATCTAATAAATGTTTGCGGCGTGTCAATTGAGCTCCGGAAGATTACAACTGTTCAGCTTTTTTTCCTGGTCACTGTTATCCGCATGAGGCTTTGAGGATAAGGCAGTATCTTATATCCATGACATGAGCTGCTAGATTATCTGTATTTTTGCTAGCATGCATCAGGGTTCATGTGCAGTGACCTTTCTCTTCTGTTGCAATGAATGTCTACATTGCTAATGTTTGATTGACGAATAGGACATCAGGCAGTCCAAGGACGAAAAATTCCCAACTTGAACCAAACTTCTGTGATTAATATGCACACTTTGCTCATATCTATATCTATCTATCTATCTATCTATCTATCTATATATATATATATGTAATTTAATAAAGGCCTTAATTCCTTCGCTAACAAAACTAGTGCAAATAAGTTGGAATTTATGCATGGCATATGTTTTGGTGTAGTCAATTGGCAGATTCAGAATTATCTTACATCAGCTAAAGCTTCTAATTACTTTGTGTATGGTAATGCAGGCTGAAGGTCTTCTGATTGAGAAAAACAGAACAGCCTGTTACAATTTCATAGAGCAGTTTTCTGAGTGCATCTCAAAGCATGTCTCACTCATGCAAAAGCAGAGGTATGTTGAGACTCTTGAATTTCTGGTACTTTATTTCTATTTACAAAACTGATACCTTATAAAGTTCTTAAATCAAATATTTTCCCCACTTTTCTACCTATATTACCCAAAATTTCCCTGTTGCTTAACAGAGAATATTTGTTATTTTTATTGATTCTGATTTTCTATTTGATAGTACTGTGAGGCACCAATTCAATTTTACATTCTTGTGTTTGGCTGGTTTTCTATTCTCTAGTCTTTTGTTTTTGTAAGACATCTACTTCTCTTTCACTACAGTGAGTGTCCTGAGGAATGCAGAAAAGCTGTACCATCTCTAATATATGCAGCAGCCAGATTTGCTGATTTGCCAGAACTACGCAATCTCAGAACTATTTTTACTGAGAAATATGGAAATTCCCTAGAATCCTATTTAAATCAAGAGGTAATAGATAGATGGCTTGAGGTCCTATAAAATGTTATCTTCTACTATTCTTATGAACATTTTCTCTCTAAGTACTAACCTAATAATTGGTTATATACAGTTTGTGCAGAAGCTAAAGGCAGAACCTCCTACTAAGGAGATGAAGCTTCAATTGATGCATGACATAGCACAAGAGTTTTCTATTGAATGGGACTCCAAGGCTTTGGAACAGAAACTGTTTAAGACACCTCCATCAGAACAAGTAAGCCTCCCTCTCTAGAGCCTAGCTTGTGATTTCTGCATCTTATTGAAACAAACAAGAGTCGAGAACAACTGTGAAAGGTTTTATGTTCCAAAATGCTAGTACTGTTTAAATAGGTATATTTGCTTTCTCATGTGAGCTAGCTTTAGAATGCTTGGATGCATTGTGGAAGGTATTGGACCCTTTATTAGAAAGGAGAATAGATGGGAGGTTCTAGACACTAAAAAGGGCCAAATGTAAAAAAATGATTTGCTAACCCTGGTTTTATGGCTTTTACTATAACAACTTAGAGGACAGAGTTCTTTTTATCCTGCATCTAGCTAGATGCAAAATAATTGTGTCTTTGAAAATCTCTTCTAAGGCTGATGCTCGTAGTAACATATGACTTTTCTTGCAGAATGAGGCCCGGCACAAGACTTTAAATGAACCTGATGATGATGGATGCGAGTTGTACAGAAGCAAGAATGATGCCTTCAAGAAAAGCAACAATCATGATGATGAGAATGGATCGAGTAACATGCATGATTACAGGAGGCCAAAAAAAAATGAAATAGACCTCACTTTTCGTGGTAGAAAGGAGGACGCTGATGATAAATTCAAGCTGCATAGCAGCAGTGAGGGTGAATTGACTGATCATGATATCCCAAAGACTAGTTCCACTTCAGATGAGGATGGTGCAGAAAACAGGAAGCCCTTTTACCACAGATTTATTCCTCCTCCATATGTCACGCAATCCCCTGGCAAGGAAAAAAGCAGCACGGGGGAGCCCACAGCACCAATTGATAATACTGACAACAAGAAAAGCAATAAATGGAATGATTCAGCTGGTGAAAGTAAGCCAAAACCAAGATCAGTTAGGAGGAGACCTTTGAAACCACCACCAGGTCGTGAATGCTTAAGCAGTTTTGGAAATGATGGGGCAGCAAATATTAGTTCAACCACAGCGAATCACAAAGAAGCAAGAAAAGGTTTGGCATCCATACAAATGGAGGAAAGCGATCAGAGGGATGAAGAGGAGAAGACAATGGATGGGCTTTTGATGCATTACAGCAAGAAAAAGTCACCTAATGAACAGGTGAGCAAATGGAAAGCAAATCTAACACCTCCTCCTGGAAGACGAACAGCTGAAGACACCAGTGAAGGTTCAGGGTTACGAAGCACTAAATCTGATCCAAGTTCTCCTCCAGGCAGAGCTGCATCTTTTCTAAAAGAAGCAACAAGTCCAACTGAGGCAGCAGGGAGGCAAACCCCAGCCTCATTCCAGCTAGACATGTTTGCTGGCCATGTGCATCCCAAGCTACCAGAATATGATGATTTGGCAACTCGGCTTGCTGCTCTACGAAAGGGATAAAAGAAAATAGCATTAGGAGAGTAGAGATATTACCTTACATTCAATCTAATTCTCTCTAGTATTTTCACATTTGAAAGGCATATATAGGAAATTAGTTTGGTGGTTCATTCACTTACTATATATAGCTCCACATTTGATTATGAAAAAAGCATTGGACGGTCATTCAAGAAAGCCAAAAAAAAAGGCTTGTAAAATAGATTTGGTTATGTATAGATGACAGTATAAGTTGTTTAATATGAACAGATTTTGGCTATTTTTCCATCAATGATTTGAACTTGGAAGATGAATTGCAATAATCTTTATTAACAGGTTTTCAATCGATGTTGGAAGTTATTGTCTGCTTCAGATTTTGTGCCACTTATTGGAGGGAAATGAAGTTTCTAAACTTAAACAGTTTAAGATGGCAGTTGGCCAAACTACATAATATACAGCGTCCCTGTAAAGGACAGTTTTGGAGTTGCTTATGATCATTAACTAATATGAAGAGCGAACAAGGAATATGCCATGTATTGATAGGGTTGGCCTTGTAGAAAATCATATATAGCAGCTCACATTCACCAACATCTATAAAACCCCTAAGAATTTAATATTATGAGAGCTTTATTGTATACTTCAAAAAAAAAATAAATGAGAGCTTTATCGCAAGACATCTATACCTTACATATCCCTTATATAAAAATCATCCCGTAAGCCAATCGGATGAAATTGAGTCGAGGATTTGGAGATGTTCTTTACCAAAAAAAAAAAGAAAAGAAAAGAAGCAGAGGGTTAGGTATGGTTAACATGTAGAATGGTCACTTACCAGTGTATGGTGTAGCTAATAGGGTTTCGGGTCACTTACAAGCAGATTAGTACTACTGAACTAAGTGTTCATAGTTGAAAATCTTCTCTGTTGTGTTTGTACATGTCACGTCATGATTTAGGTTTTGGATCAAACTCAAAGTTAATTTTCTTGCAAAGCTGATGATTGAACTTCTTATCAGAGGCAGCAAATTGAAAGGAAATGATTCTGTCGTCCTGGCTTTTGTGTTCTGTATTTGGTTTGCATGAGTTGTTTGATAATAAAGCTTGGTTGTTGAAGCATTCCCAACGATTCCAGCATCAGAACACAAGGAGAAGAGGAACATTTAAGGCCTCCAAGTGAAGTAACTTTTTAAACTTGAATTAAGTTGTGTTTGGTTGTATAAAATCTGGATTTTATTTGGAATCAAATATAAGGGAGATCTTTGTCTTTTTACATTTTTCTGTAGCTCAAAACAGTTGCTTCAATTCCGGGGTGAGTGCCTGCCTAACTCACTCGCAACCGAACATGTCTCAATCGTTAGGTATCCAACGAAACAGAAATGATAGTTTAAGAACAAAAAACTGAGAAATTGAAACGGCGGGGACATGTTTCATTAATTTTAGGCAGGGCATATGGAGAAAATAAATTAATAATAATGATGTAGTGGCTCTAAAAACAGTTTTTTTTTTTGTCTTGTTCCCCGTTGAAGATGTTGATATTGAAATGTTATGCAAAGGATCAGACTGTTGGAATAGCTTCAATCCCATGCTACAGATTCTTAAAAATGCAATCCACGAATTTTGAGCTAAGCCTTCACAAATTATCTTATACATTTAGAAACATATGTTCATATAAATATTTCAATTCTTCCATTTATATCCTTTTTGTGCGTGAAATTTATTAAAAAAAAAACCCTTTAATTGTAACTGATTTAATTTGATTTATTGCCCAGAATCTTGGATTGGATGATGTAAATCCTTACTATACCGAATATGGGACAAAGGCAACAAAAAAAAAAAAAGGGTTGAAATATTTTTTTTTAGTAATTAACTAAAATAAGCAGAATTAATACAATTTTTTTTAAAAGGAAAAAAGAAAAGTTATCATTATTAGATCCAATTTGTTTTTTTTATCCAATGTAAAAAAAAAAAAAAAAAACTAAAGAGAAAAGCCAAAAAGAGAAAAATTGAAGAAGTGGTCGGTCCGACCAAAGGCAAAGCCACTTCCAAAACAATATGAAGCAGTGGAATAATAATAAGAAGAAGACTCCAGTCTCAACATCTTTCTTTTCTTTGCTTTTTACCTTTTTTTCCCCTTTAATTCGGCATAAATAAACCATTCAATATTTTTCATGTCAAAATAAAATGTTTTGTTGTATTTTATCAAAATTGTATATTTGAAAGCTACTCTCACTACCAAATATTTTATTAATTAATGATAGAAAAGATTATGAAATATAATAAAATATTTAACATAATATTTAAATTTGAAAAAAAAATTATATATTATTTAAATTATGAATTTATTAATAATATAATATTTAAAAAAATTTTTATCCCTAATATGTTATCATTTAAAATTAATTATATTAAACATAAATATCACATATATTAATAAATTTAAGATAAATTTCATCTAACTCTTTTAGTTTTAATAATAATTCAACACAAATCATTAGTTTAAAAAATAAACAATTCACCACAAACTGCTTAACTTTATTAACATAATTTAAGTGAATATATAGTAACAAAAAATTAATTGTATTTAATTCTTTAATTTGGGTTTACATATTATAAATGATTTTTATTTTAAGATTAATAAATTTATTATTATTATTATTATTTTTTCTAATATGTAGATTTAAGTTTAACATTTATACGAGTATTATAATAATTAAAAAAACCAAATTGTCAAATATCTAATGTGATCTTTTTTTTAACCAACAATTTTCATTTTATATCATTCATTTTTTTAAAATTATTGCATACCAAAATAATATTACATGCTCAATTTATTCATTTTGTTATATATATATTTACATATTAGCATACTTATAATTGTAAATTTTATTTTTATATTTAAAAAAATTGTAATAATAATAAATTTGATATATTTAAAAAAATTATTATTATAAAAGTATTTGATAATATTAATTTTTCAAAAATAAAATAATTTTTAAATGAGATTTTTAATGAAATAATTAAGGGATTACTAACAAAAAGATTTATTTATCCTATAAAATTTAAAAAATTTTGAGATAAATTATTTATTTTTAAAATTAATAAATTTATATTGAATTATGTTCAAAATTAAAATATCAATATAAAATTTATTCATAAATTTATAATCCAAATATCTCACAAAAAATTTGTAAAATTCAAATGATATATTAATATTTCACGAGTTATTGGCAACGTTAATAACAAAAAGAAACCTTGGGTTCTCTCTGTCTCCCTGTGTTGGCATGCGTAACAATAAAGCATACATCTGAAGTAATGAAAGTGGAAGAAAGGAGGTTTCTGACAGAGTTGTTAAATAAAGTGGCGATTCACTGACATGATCTCATCTCCGTTCGACTCCCACTTCTCTCATCGCATCCAACCAATCTCGACTTCTCCATTCTGACACTGGACCCCATTTATGTTTCTAACTTTTCCTTTTCCATATAGTAATAAATTACTGTTTGCAACTACTATATATAGTTTATTGTGATTATAGTTAACTATGCTTATATATATCTACTTAGGGTTAATTATAATTAAATATTAAAATTTCTTTTATTTAATGTACCATTTCCTTTAAATTTTTAAGAAATTATAATATTAATTATAAAATTCTTTATACAATAATTCAAATAATATTTTAATTAATGCAAGATTTATTTTAATTGATTTATTTAATTATTTTTAGAAATGATATTTAATGAATATGAAAAATAATTTTCATTATTTATAATTTTTTATTCTCATATTATAATTTATTTTGTAAAAAAATATAAATATTATAATAAAATATATTATGAAGAATATATGAAAAAAGAAATAAGGTAGATTAAAATGAATAAGACAAAGGCAAAGTTTTGCCGAACCTTTTTTTAAATCTGATCATTTAATCTTTATCTCTCCACCATTATTTATTTTATTTAATTGATTTGATGAATTTTAAAAAATTCTCCCCCTTTAATTTATTCCTTTTTCATCCAAAAAAGTAACAACCCTGGCCCAATCCCCATGCTCTTGTCTCGTCCTCCCAAACAATAATACGACACCGCTTCACACGCTCCAAAAAAAAAAAGAACTTGCTTCTTCGTCACTCCGCCACTCCGCCACGGTAGTAAACCCAGCAAAAACTCTCTTTCAACAAAAGTAGAAAGTAATTGAATTATTCGTTTTTAATTTTCAAATTTTGTTAAAAATCCTTAAATTTTTAATTCTTTTGTTTTTGTTTTTTCTTTTTCGACACTCTGCGGGAGTGATGGGTTGTTCGCAATCAAAGATCGAGAATGAAGAAGCGGTTACCCGCTGCAAAGAGCGGAAGCAATTTATGAAAGAAGCGGTTGCCGCGCGAAACGCTTTCGCCGCTGCTCACTCCGCCTATGCCATGTCCTTAAAAAACACTGGCGCTGCCTTAAGCGACTACGCCCACGGCGAGGTCCAGAATGCCAACCTCCCTTCTCACCCTGGGCCATTGATCGTGGGACCTTCCCTGCAACCGCCTTCGGTCGACAAACTCTTCCCTCCGCCGCCTCCTCCCGGGAGCATTGCCGGCGATCCGGGGGTTCCGATCCAACGGTCGGCTAGTATGCCCATACAGATGCCGTTGAATGGGAAGCAAAGGGATACGTCGACGACCACGATCGCGGAAGATGATGAGGAGGACGATGACGTGGAAGCAAATAGTTCGTTGGTGAAGCGAAGATCGCGGAATTATAGGGGAAGTGGTAGTGGGGGTAGGAGTAGGAGGGAAGTGGTGGAGGAAGCCGAGGAGGTGGAGGAAATGGTGACATCGACAACGGTGCACGCGCGTGCAATGCAATCACAGCCACCCCAGGATTCGACTTACTATTACTTCTTTCCCACGGAAGATAGTGTTCCTGGACCAAGTTTAGGGGAGGTGGAAGAAGTGAGGGTGGAGAATAGGGAGGTGGAAAGGAAGGTTTTTGAGGAAAGGCCGAGAAGAGTTGAGGAGGAGGTGGTGGATGAGAAGATGAGGGAGGAGGAGGTGGTTGTGGAGAGGGGACAGAAGGCGTCGGTGGAGGCGGAGAAAACGCTAGCGTCAATGGCTGGGGTAGGGAAGGGGAGCAAGAAGGGTGGAAAAGTAGGGGTTGGTAGTACAGGGGAGAAGAGGCCGGTGAGGGGGAGTTTTAATTTGTTGCAGGTTTTTACTCAACTTGATGATCATTTCTTGAAGGCCTCAGAGAGTGCTTATGAGGTTTCGAAGATGTTGGAGGCTACTAGGTTGCATTATCACTCTAATTTTGCTGATAATCGAGGTAATTTGTTTTCACTTTTGTACTATGAAATTGAGCATCAGTGCGGAATTCTAAAGATTTTGATTTGGATTGTTTGATCTCTCTTAACATGAATTAGTAGAATTGTAGATAATTTTCATTATTATTCAATTTCATAACGTTTGGTATCAGCAATTCAGCATAAAAATTCTGAGATTGGATTTCAAATGTTAATGAGTAAATTTGGGTTTTCATTCCTGTGTAACATTGAGTTATTAGAACGAGAAATTTTCAGATTTGGATTTTTGATGCTGATGGATCTTGCCGTAATCATAGAGCTAATGGGTTTGGGTTTAGATTTATTCACTGCATATCGGTAGTTTAAACTTTGTTAAAAAAATTTGGTCAATTTTGATTTAGTGAAGCACAATTTGTGTTTGCTTAGAAGTTTTTGCTTCAGTTTGTAGAGAGCTTTTCTTTTCATTGAATGGCGGGTGTTTTCCATTTCTGTTTTATGAGTATAGCTGTTTTAGTTTGTACATATATAAATAAATATTTAAATTACCATTAACTGGAGATCAGCTGTGCAAAATCATAAGGTGAAGTTTGACAATTTGGCTAATAACTTTGTTCTTTTTCTCCTTCCTTCTGGAATGGAATAATTTGATTATTTTATTCATATAATGTACCTTAAACAGGTATTTTATTATCTTAATTTATGCTTTGCAGGACACATTGATCACTCTGCGAGAGTAATGCGTGTTATTACTTGGAATCGGTCATTTAGAGGATTAAAAGACAATGCTGATAATGTGAAGGATGATTTTGATTCAGAGGAGAATGAGACTCATGCCACTGTGTTGGATAAAATGCTTGCATGGGAAAAAAAGCTTTATGATGAAGTGAAGGTATATTAAAGAGTTTCTTTCTCTTCTTCTGCCATTTGTCCTCTTATTCATTTTCTACTGATTGACCTCTATGCTGTTGTTTATTTCTAATAGTATAAAACATCTGGTTTAAAATCCTCAATGATATGATACCTTCTTGATGAAGTAAACCGGCATAATGGATTTTTTTGGCCAATCAACCAGCATAATACATTCAATTCTTTTATAATGCTATTATTCCTTATTGCATGATTGAACTCCCAAGATTGAATGGCCTATATATGTAGTTACCTTGTCTTAAATAGTTGTTGAACAGTAGGCTAGAGATGTTATAGTTGTTCACTGATTCATTGCTGGTGCTAGCCTTTTGGCCAATATTTTGGACTTTTATATCATAGTTCAGATTGCGACTGCTCTGCTGCAAGTTCTGTTCGTTTGGATGATGTGAACACATGCATACTTGCATAGACCGAGACCATCAGTAAGCTATAGCCACATGAAGCAACAAACTTGAGTCATTTTAGGTTTGGTGTAATTGATCTAGAACTAATTTGCTTCTTGTATGTTGAATCATTCATAGTGTTAAATCTGAGTGATTGTTCCAAGTGCCAATCCTCTTGTAGTAGATAATTAGTGGGATGTAACTGTATTGTTCCTTTTCTGAGCATACCAAAAAAAAAAAGTGTACATTTCTCATCTTAGTTCTGTAACTTAGCTACAAATGCAAGGTCCATTTGGCTGGCAAGTCATTGCATTCCCCCTAAAAAAAATCTCATCTTCACCAGTCACTTAAGTCCTAAGATGTGATTATTCTAGAGAAGATGATCTATGCTCACATGTTAAAGTTTTGAACAAGTCAATTGTGTTGTAGGCATGTCATACTAGAACATCATGGAGGGGGTAAGAGACTAAGATGCATCGCATATGGAGGACTAGGCCTTTCAAATTTTATTTTGTTTTGCTAGAAATAACCTGTAGCAGCCTTGTTGATGGAAACGAAAAGTGTTCTTCAGGTGCTTACTTTTGTTCAAGATAGTGTTACTAGTCAAATAGATATTAAGTAGCTGCTCTATTTAGTTCCTGATTTTCTTTAATGCAATGTCTGTTTTGTTTCCATGAATATGCATATCTTCATATGTCAATTAGCAATAACCTTAGCTCCTTGTTCTGCAATGGACTAGTGTGGGATACTGAGTTGGATAGTTTAAAAAGTAACCTTTTTGTCATTTCATGGGAGCACATCTGCACCTTTGTAAAGGACTGCATTTAGATGCTTTTGTTTGATTCAGTTAGAATTAAGCACTTCTTTGATCTTCTTTGGGTTTGATTCTTTGATCTTCTTTGGGTTTGATTGTTGATGGATAGGCAAGTGAGCATATGAAGTTTGAGTACCAAAAGAAGGTTGCCACTCTAAACAAACTAAAGAAACGAGGTACCAACTCCGAGGCACTTGAAAAGGCAAAAGCGGCAGTAAGTCATCTACATACCAGATATATTGTCGACATGCAATCCATGGATTCAACGGTTTCAGAGATAAATCGATTGCGAGATGAACAGCTATATCCAAAACTTGTTCAGCTTGTTAATGGGTAAGTTGCAGTTCATTGTTTTAACTTTATGCCAGACTTTCTCAGAAAAGGCACATGACTTGATCCAAGAAAGGATTTGAATGGCCGAGCAGTCCCTTTTTTCCTAGCCCCCTTCTTTTTTGTATGTATGGAGTAGTAACATTCACTCATGGATGCATGTAACCTTACACAGTCTTCTGCCCTATTCCTTTTTTTTTTCATTGGAACTTAATCTTAAGTTTTATCATCAATTTAGTGTGTTTGCTTAAGGTGCATCTAAGTTGCTTTAACAGATGATGAAGTCATTGAATTTTGTTCCCTTGTTCAAAGCTTGGATGATATGTGCTGTGATGTGTGTCAATTGCAGGATGGCGACAATGTGGGAAAACATGAAAGTTCAACATGACAGCCAATCTAGGATTGTCACAGTCCTGAGAGATAATCTGGACCTCTCTCAATCCCCTAAGGAAACAAGTGACCACCACCATGAGCGTACCATCCAGCTGTTAGCAATTGTGCAGGATTGGCACATGCAGTTTTGTAAGCTTGTAGACCACCAGAAAGAGTACATAAAAGCCCTGAACTGTTGGTTAAGGTTAAATCTCGTTCCCATTGAAAGCAACCTGAAGGAGAAAGTTTCTTCACCTCCAAGGGCTGAAAATCCCCCTATTCAATGGCTTCTCCTTGCTTGGCAGGACAAGCTTGAAAACCTTCCAGATGAGATTGCAAGAAGTGCCATTAATAACTTTGCTCACGTGATAGATACTATTATGCAGCATCAATTAGATGAAATGAAGATGAAGGAAAAATGTGAGGAATCTCGGAAGGAGCTTCTGAAGAAGCAACGACAATTTGAGGATTGGTACCATAAGTACACGCAGCGAAGAACACCAGAGGAGTTGGATCCAGTGGGGACAGAAGACAACCCTAACAATGATCCTGTTGCTGAAAGAAAGTTTATGGTGGATTCAGTGAGGAAGAGGTTGGAAGAAGAGGAAGAGGCCTACCAGAAGTTATGTATTCAGGTGAGGGAGAAGTCTTTGGTGAGTCTTAAAACTCGCTTGCCAGAGCTCTTTAGAGCAATGACAGGTATTGCGGTTGCTTGTTCAAGAATGTATGGAGAGTTAAGGTTCATATCACTTTCAAAGATTCCAAGTCATGGCTCATAGAAGTGGTTGTATGTTTATGTAATTTTCTTTCTATGTATAATGTACTTTTATGTGCTTTTTATAGATAAAATCGTCCAACAGAAATGTAAAGGACAAACTCTAATGGGTATTTATAGTCAACACTTTGATGTGATTTTTAATATAACAATAGATGTCATAAGTTCACTGTTATCATAAGTGTTGTGATGAAATGGATGAATTCATATTTTTCTGTAATGGATTGCTGTTTCTGGCCTTCCAAAACCTTGTTCTTTTCCCAGTTAGGCTAAGAATGAAGAATGAAACGAATTCTTCTTTGATCGACAACAGGGCAACTCAAAGCCATGCTTTCTTTCAGCACCTCTGCAGTCTCTTTCACACAAAGCTCCCTTCCCAGGAAAGGAAAAAAGAACAGAAAATAAATTGCATTCAAGATATTGTTGTTTTCCACCAGTTGTTTGCCATGTGGATGGATTAAAGCCAGCTGTTGTCACAAAAGGATTGAGGTTTCAATGTTTTTTCTTGGTGGAAATGATAGGATTGTGTTGTCTGGAGCTGTTTGCACTAGGGGGTTGCCAGATGATGGTTGTCTGCTATCTTTATATGAATGTGCTCTTGTTTTACTCCCATGTGAAATTTTATTACCCATATTTGTCCTATCTTTGTTGGTTGCAAATTTCTAACGTCACCTCTGTAGTTTATGCAAATGTAGATCAATCACCCCTTTACTTTCCCCTAACTAATAAGATTATAGAATGAAGCTATTCATATGTTATATTAGTATAATACCTTTGCCTATTTTTTTTAGTGGAAGGAGATTTTTGGGCTTTGGTCAATATATCCTCTCTCCAAGCTAGTCAAGCAAGCTTATTTAGCCTAGGTTAAGCGAATTCATAAGAAACTATTTTCCTACAACCTCTTAATAGATTTGAACCTGGACGACGAAAAGAAGAACACACTGTCTTTCCTAGTTCCTACTTGAGCCAAACATCCTTCGGTTACTTTTGCCTATTTAGCTTTGAAATAAAGCAATTGGAAGGTTGTATTAGTATAGACCTTTTTTGCCATTCTTGAAATTTGTGGACAACAACATGCATATTGGTAAAACTCCATAAGCATCTATACAAATCAGGAAGCAATATTCCTTGTTCCAGTATTTAGTCATTTACAGTTATTTTGATAGCATATGAGCAATCTATTTACAATTATTATAGTAATTTGCAGAATAGCTCCGAATCAGCTATCTGGCACTTGAAATAAGAAATAGCATAGAGCTCTGGAACACTCGACAGGGTTGAGATCAAATGGGTTACACTTGAAATCTTGAGATGGTATGACTTTCAACCTATGCAACAAAATCGCTTTCCTCTTCTTTCCTGTCTTTCATTGTGTAGATTTATCCCTGATGGCTTTGGAGGGCAAGCTCTTGCCAGCTTCTTTGCTGCACATAGGAAAGCAGCAAATGATCGAAGTTTGCAGATTCAGTTTACTAAAGAAAAGGATGCGCAAAATTAACAAAAACCAAATGTTGAAACCGCAAAGTTTGCATATCTGGAACATAAAGGAATCATGCATGCTCATTAGTGCAGGACAATGCCTGTTTGGGCAATTTGTAGTATATCCAACATGAAACTGGTCTGATGCGTTGGCACCAATGAGATGATGTTTCCATCAACCATCGATAAGGATTAAGGTGAAAGACAAATACCTATTTCATAGAAAAGCTCGTTGACATTCTGTGCAGTTTTTGCAGATGTTTCCATGAAAAACATTCCATTTTCTTGAGCAAACTGTTCTCCATCCTGCAAATAAATGAAAGTGTAGGAAAATTTTACTGAAGTGTGAGTGCCCTTAGTAACTTCAGATAAAGAATACTAAAACTATAAAGTTACATCTGATGGCTATTATCAAAACAAAGTTAATTTTGATTCTGCGTTGCGTTCGTATAGATAGCATAAATATGGATAGAGATCATCTTCGCGGAGCATTATGATGGGAATTTGTTGAGAAAGAAAAGCGTTTCAAGCCTGGTATGAAGATTGCTAGTTGGATAAACACTCTAAGCACTTTAAAAACAGTTGCCAATTCTTTTTCACGATAATGAAAATTATGCTATACTCTCAAAGTAGGAAGGTAAGCAGTTTGCAAATACCTCATTTTCAACCTCTCTCTTGGAGTCCAAGTCGGACTTGTTTGCCACCAGAGCCATCACTAAATTTGCATTTCCTTAGAGATAGTAATTAAGATCACATACAGAATAATTAGCTGTGGATTTATAGCTAAACAATCATTCCATAACCAAAAACCATTGCAGGCTTGTATAATATCTATAGAGGTCGTGCAGATAGGAGTAAACATAGACTTAGAAAATTGGAGTTGGCCTGAGTAGATACAAACTGTATCTCTTGAAATGAAAAATACTTAAATCGGAGTCAAGCTGTTCAGCTTATGATGGAAGGCAGATAATCATCACAATGCAAATTGCAAACTATATTGTTCTGTTTGGCATATGATACATACAAGTAAAAAATCAAATTTTAAGAGGCACTAAAGTTAAGTCATAAAGCTGAGTCATGTCTACCAAATGCAGCAGAAATCGAAAATCTAACAGAATTTCAGAGTTTCATACCAGTTCCTAGAGAAATAAAACCATATTTCAGGAGGGAAAGAAAGCTAGTAGAAACCTGAATTGAAAGTTATTTATGGGGCTTCCTTTTTCTTTTCTCAAAGGAGGTGGAGGACGAGGAAATGCACTTAGCAATTAGAACTGAATAGGAAGGTTATGAGTTCATACTCGTACAATCACATAACTCAATAGGAATTGAAAGTTTTGCTAAATACCAAAAAGGAAATGCTTGACTTTACAAATTGAAGTTCTCACCTTGTCTTTGTAGTTCTTGAACCCATTTCTTTGCTCGTACAAATGTGTCCTGAAGAAAGAATAAAAAAAACACAGATATGTCAATATTCCATAGTATTGGAATGACCATCTACCAATCGCTTTCCCAGCAGCTCCAGGGTACCCAAACAAGCCATATACTTTAATTTTCATTAACAAAAAAAACCAGACTGCATTGCTGCATCTATAAGTTTATTCAAAAAACTTTGTGAAGCAAAGTTGCATTCCATTAGGGAAAGAAAGAGACTAGGCACCTGAAAACTAATATCTTGGCAGAAAGAAACGGTGGAAGAAACAGAGGCCTAAGACTCAAAGTCTCATCAACTTGCAATGAATAGATCTATTAAAGTTCCAAATAGTTGCAATTAAGAGTTTTAATGACTACTGCTGGAAACAATTTTGATTAGCAATGCGATTGAGAAGAATTTCAATTTGATTTATGGCAACATTCCTGATATAATATTAATTATTAACATTGCTTAATCTAACCATGCTTTTAACAAACTGCATTGAACTGGATGAAATCAATCAAAAGTTACCATGCTTGAGATGTCATAAACAACAACAGCTGCTGCTGCACCTCTATAGTACATAGGAGCTAAACTATGGTATCTTTCTTGTCCTGCTGTATCCCAAATGTCAAACTTTACGGTGGCTTCAGTTACTGATAATATCTGAGTGAAAAAGGCTGCTCCAATTGTTGGTTCCTAGAAGTAAACAAATTTAATTAAGGCCCTTAACTACAATCAATATTGGATACTTGAAGAACAATGAGCAGACAAGAATATATAGAATAAATAAGAGAAGAACAAGGACCTGGTGATCCAAAAACTGGCCTTTGACAAATCTTAGTACCAAGCTGGTTTTGCCAGTTCCCATGTCCCCTAGAAGCACCTGCAAAATCTAATCTTTTAAAATTTATCTCCCCACCGAGATTTTCCTCTAATATGCAGTTTGTCACAAAAATTCTTTATCCAATGAGGTATTTCATTTATGCCCATTTTAATCTTTTTGTTGCATCAAATGAAAATGCAACGATGGGAAGTATTTCACTTACAATTATCTATACTACAATCCTACAATTAAAGCAAAAAATTACGTAGCAGTCTACCACTTTAAAGTATGGGCCCTATAGAAAATTTTGATGGATCCCATACAATGTTGAATTTTGATTAATTAATTGCACTACAGTAATTGTAGGTGATGTGCTTTCTGATTGTCTTCAATGGCCGGTTCTAACATGTAAAATTGTAACTTTCAAACGCATTTACCTACAAATCAGAGACTAATTCACCCTCCATGAAGGCATGAAGCATCCAATATGCCACAAAACATTTTTGGGTCAAATTTACAAGTTCCTGCTTATTATAGACCGTCTTTAGAGGCAATGCTACAAAATGCAGCACTATAAGGCATGAAAACCATAATCAACTCCAGCATATCAGTCTTAACATTTACAAGCTTAAGAGCACCATCATATCCGTCAAATATCATCAATCACCAAAATCTGCTTTTCCAGGTTATCTGTAAGATACTTTCAGGGACTAAAACCAAAGAAATTATAAAAGAAACACTGCAGTCTAGCTGAATTAGGAGATCAAGGGGTGACATGCATCTCAGCAGGAAAAGAAAAATAAAAAACAGGCTGACCCCGTTTTGATAAAAGGAAAAAAAAAAAAAAAGAAGAAGGGTAAGACATACCCACCAGCTTGGCTTGTATGATCTTGTTACCAGGTCTTGCCATTGAACGCTTTGATCAGATTGCAAAAGTTTAGAGATATGACTTCCCTGAGAACAATAGAAAAGGGAAAGAAAGAATTAGATAGATAAAGTTTTCAAAGTTGTCAAAGGCAAAAAACCATGTATATTGTTCAGCAAGGAACATTGAATGAGAATGGTAGGTTAGAGACTTGGAGTTGGAGATTTTGTAATTGAGCTCCTAATACTACCATTACTACATTGCAACTTTGACTGGTAGTTTTATCCAATTTCCATTCTTTGTTGCGCTGCTAACGTAGGGGGCTAACTTAGGGGGGCCAATAGAATATAGTGGGATCCCACAAAACTTTCCAATTTTATATGCATGATTGTTTATACGAACATGCGTAAGACTTTTAAGTGCAAAATATGTCATACACGTAGAGCGTAGTTTCTCAAACACAAGAAAGAGAATTCAATTGCAAAGTTTACCCTAGCACCGAACACATTACGTATTGACCTATATCAAAGAACAATATTAAAGTATTTGAATTAAAGGTATGTAGAAAAGTAAAAGATAGACAAGTTATAATTTGAATTAGTATCATCAGTCCATGCCCTTTTCGTTGTTTGAATCGTTCGAGGAAACGAAGAAAAAATGAAAAAGATAAATGATAAATTTAAAATTTTTTTAAAGTGTTCGTTTATAATATATAAAAAATTATTAATGATATATTAATTTTATCATAAAAGTGATGTTTAAAAAGCATTTTTTGAAACATCTGTTTATGAGAGGAAAGAAGGATTGACGAGGGATCTATATTTAGGTGTAGTTGAACATAATGCCACTTTTGGTCATTTTATTTTCTTTTCCTCCATTATTTCAATTGGGATTAAACATTAAATTCAAGCTCATCCATTTTTAAGAAAAAAAAAATATTAGATAATTTTTTGCAGCAAATGTAAATAAAAATTGTATTATTTATATAGTATAACTTGTATTGATAAGAAAAAATAATATTCGAAAACGTTTTTTTTAAGAGAAAAGTTTGAGAACTTGGAATCACAAAAAAATTTAAGTAGTAATTTCCTTAATTATTAAATTGGGTCAAATTGGGTCTGGGCTTTAAAACCCATAGTTGCACCCTAGTTTGGGCTCGCCGACTTCGACAGACAGGCTTGCCTAACCACAGACAGCTTGTTTTAAGAGTTTCAAAAATTGAGAAATTAAAAATTAGAATGGGTCATTTATGTTTTTTAATGATTTTTTATGTTAAATATAAATAAAATATAAAACTTGTTATGTTATAATTATGATGAACATATTTTAGCTTTTATTTTTATAAAATTTGTATATAATTTTTATTAAAATTTTAAATTATTATTTATTTGTATTATTTTTATTTTATATTATTATATTGTATTTAAAATAATAAAATTTATTAAAAATTAAAAGAAAAACAAATGTTTCGTGGTCAGCAAGTCGTTATATCACTGGGCCCCACGACCCACTGTCTGAACGAACCGAACGGTAAAGAAACCATTTTTAAATTAATAAAATTTATTAAAAATTAAAAGAAAAACAAATGTTTCGTGGTCAGCAAGTCGTTATATCACTGGGCCCCACGACCCACTGTCTGAACGAACCGAACGGTAAAGAAACCATTTTTAAATTAATAAAATTTATTAAAAATTAAAAGAAAAACAAATGTTTCGCGGTCAGCAAGCCGTTATATCACTGGGCCCCTCTACCGACTGTCTGAACGAACCGAACGGTAAAGAAATCATCTACGTCTGATTTCTGCACTTTTTTAGTTAAATTCGTCGACAACTTTGCTTTAAATTGCGTGCGTAAAAAGAAGAACCAAAAAGAGGAATTAGTTGAGAAAGTGTTCAAATTTCAAATTCCCGATTATAATACAACAAGAACCCCAATTCCAGTTATAATTCCAAATTGAAAAAAATAGTCCTACCTTCACGATCTCGATCAAGCCAACACGTTTTTTTGGGTTTTTTTTTTTCTTCTAAAATAGTTTGGAGTAGACCGTGGGTTGGTACTTGAATTTACCGTCAGTCTGAAGAAAAGCAATGGCGAAATCAATTGTTTCAGCAATTCTGGAGAATTTGCGCTCATTGATAATGATACCCGATGAGATAAAGCACAAAGTTGAGGTGGCTCTGAATCTTGAAGAAGAAATCCGAAAAATGACCTCTCATTTTCAGGATATCCTATTAGTTCTTAAAGATGCAGAAATGAAACAGGTAATTTTTTTTTTATGGAGTATTATATATGTATGTATGGAGCATGTACCTTCTGTTTTGTCAAACATGGGTCCTCCAAGTACTTTTCCTCCATTAATTTAAATCGGAGCCCACTTTTATTTTGAGCACTTAGAATTAGCTCAGAGGTCATATGTGCAAATAAAACTTTGGAGGTTGTGATTTCGAGAGAAGTTACGCACATATAGATAAGGGTCGAGGGTTAAATTTAGATTAAAAATAAAAAAAAAATTATATCCGAAATTGAAATGAAATTAGAGAATATATAAACGTAAATAGAATGAAAAAAAAGGAAGAGGTTTGATTTTGAAATCTAATATAGCCTAGGCACCCCTCACCTCCCTCTTTTCGCAAAAAGGCATTTGAGTTATATTAAGACATGATGTAATATAATTTTTTAGGAGGTTGAGTTTGGGATCCTTAAATTTGGCTTTTTAAATCTTTTGGTTTATAGAAAAAATGAATTATTGAATATGAAATTCTCTGTTTTGGATAAATCTGGGGTTTTGAATTCGAGATTTTAAACAATAGTGTTAGATTTTTAGGATATAGATAGACATGTAGTGAACTTTAAGTGGATTGAATTGAATTCATACTAAGTCAAAAATGAATTTGAAATCTTAAAACTTTGACCTTTTGAATAACTTCCTAAAATAATTCCCAATGAATGAAGCATATTCTTTCGACCATAAAATATATATCATGATCAAAAATCATAAAATGCTTTTTCATTTGAATGTTTTAAGTCCGAACATAGTCGGCTTCAAGTCCATTTGTCTCTAGTTGGACAGAATTTCAGACTAAAATTATTGGACTGTATAAATTTGCTCATTGAATATATACTTGAATTGCTGATACAATTGTTAATCTTACCTTTGCCTTTAACAGGTGAAGGATGCCAGTGTGAGAAATTGGTTAAAGAAACTCAAAGATGTAGCTTATGACGTTGATGATGTATTGGATGAGTGGAATACTGCCAAACTCAAATCTCAACTTGGGAAAGAACAAAGGGAAGTCCAAAATTTTCCCTTGCTAAAGAAGATACGCTATTCTATCTCTTCTTGTACCTCTCAAAGTATTCTATACTATAATATTGCATCGAAGATAAAAGGCTTGAATGAACAACTTGATTGTATAACTACTGAGAAAGATAGGTATAGGTTTGGGTTAGAGAAGGGGATTGAAGAACCCGAAAGGCAAATAACTGCATCTTTCATAGATAAAGAAGAGGTTTATGTTAGGCGTCAAGAGACAATAATTCTTGTGAACATGTTGGTGGGAGAGAATAGTAATGGAGGAGGGTCGAGCTTCCGTGTCATTTCTATAGTAGGGATGGGAGGAATAGGGAAAACGACACTTGCTCAACTGGTTTACAATGACAATGAAGTTGAAAGTCATTTTGACAAGAGAATATGGATATGTGTCTCAAACCCTTTTGATGAGATAAGGATTGCCAAAGAGATACTTGAAGCATTTAGAGGTGAAACTCCGAATTTATTTGGCAAGGATAACATTTTGCAGCAAATTCGAAGTCATATTTTGGGGAAGAAAATACTTCTTGTGTTGGATGATATGTGGACTGAAGATGCAACAAAATGGGAGCAATTGAGAAATTCCCTCAGGTATTGTTCTCCAGGTAGTAGAATTTTGATAACCACTCGTAAGGAAAGAGTTGCAATAATTATGGGAACAACAACTGCAAATTTATTTCCATTACATCCCTTGTCTCAGGAGGAATGTTGGTCATTACTTAGCCATAGAGCATTCTATGGGAGGACAAGTGAGGAGTGTGAAAATTTAGAAGATATTGGTAGGAAAATTGCAGAAAAGTGTCAGGGCTTGCCACTTGCTGCAAAGATTTTAGGCGGTGTGTTGCAGTTCAAGAGAACTGGAGAACAATGGCAAAGTGTCTTGGATAGCGAAATATGGGACCTTCAAGGGGCTGAACATGATCTTTTCCGTCCCTTATTTTTGAGTTATTATGAGTTACCTTTGGCTCTGAAGCAGTGCATTTCATATTGTGCTGTTTTTCCCAAAGATAAGATCTTAAACAAAGATGAATTGATCAAGTTGTGGATGGCGCAAGACTACTTGAAGGGAGCAAAGTGCAAAGAGATGGAGATTGTTGGTGAGGAATATTTTGATAAGCTGAAGATGCATTCCTTTTTTCAGGATTTTAAAAAGGTTGAACTTGACAGTGATATTATTGAATGCAAAATGCATGATATAGTACATGATTTTGTTCAACTTTTAACGAAAACTGAATGTTTGGTGCTGGCAATTAATGGTTTTGAAGAATTAGGAGTAGGGTCTTCTTGTGATAAGGCTCGTCATGTAACATTGATTTGTAAAGAAGCTGTACCGATAGACCCTAATATTTACTGTTTCAAAAAGTTGCGTAGCCTCCTTATTGACTCAAGCAATCATGATACTTCATCACTAAGCGCATCTTTGCCCAAGTTGTTTGATCAATTGACTCGTTTGAGGACATTAAATTTGAGTAACAGTTTGTTTGGAAATTCAATTGAAGAACTTCCTGATCAAATAGGAAAATTGGTTCATTTGAGATACCTTAACCTGAAACATAATAGAAAATTGAAAAAATTACCTGAATCGCTGTGCGAGTTATGTAATTTACAAACCTTAAACCTTACATGGTGTGATAGTCTCCAAGAATTGCCATGCGGGATTGGAAAACTAATCAACTTGAGTCATCTTGAGAATGAGCTGACAGACTTGAGCTTGATGGCAATGCCGAAAGGAATTGGGAGATTAACAAACCTTCAGACACTGAGGGTGTTTGTGGCAATGGATGGGGGCATTAACAGCAAAGCAGCTAGCCTTGGAGATCTTCGAAGCTTGATACATCTTCGAGGACATCTTAAGATCAGTGGATTGGGAGTTGTGTGGGATGTGACTGAAGCTAAGAAAGCAGAACTTCAAAACAAGAAAGGCCTCCGCAGTTTGATTCTAGATTTTACTAATGGCAAGAGGTTGAAGTCTGAGAGGCCACTTAGAAGATATGATGAAATACTTCTTAAAGCTTTACAACCACCTCCTTGCTTGGAAAAATTGGAGATATGGTACTACAGTAGCTCCACCATTTTCCCCAACTGGATGCTGGGATTGACCAAGCTGCAGCATATTTCACTGGGTTTTTGCTTTCATTTGAACTTTTTGCCTCCCTTGGGGAAACTGCCATCCCTTGAATCACTCTATATAGGGAAAATGAGAAGTTTGAAAGAGGTGGGAGTCGAATTTTTGAAAGTGGAAAGACAAGAGATATCATTGTCTTCATCTGCAGAATCATCTGTATCATCTATTATTGCCTTTCCTAGTTTAAAACATCTCGAATTTTCTTATATGAAAGAGTGGCATGATTGGATCCCATTAACGAGTGAAGGAAAAGAGCATATTAATATTATGCCTTGGCTTTGTTCCCTAACAATCGATTCCTGCCCGAAGTTAAGTGCACTCCCATACTATGTTCTTCAGAATAAAAGTCTAGAACAATTGGAAATAAGTCAGAGTCCTATTCTTTCAGAACGTTGCAGAAAGGATACAGGGGAGGACTGGCTCAAAATTTCTCACATCCCTAGCATCATAATCGATGGTCTATGCATGCAAGCAAACTGCTCTTCTGTCGAGGAGTTTGGAGTATTGCAGTTGCAACCACTACACAGGTGTTCTTATATTTCATCAGTATCTGTCCAATTCACAGTACATTCATGTGTATGGCATATCATTTGCCTAAATCTGCGGTTGCATTGTCTAAAATTTTTCCTATTTCTGTATACATCAATCCACAACTGGCATGTGTTTAGGATCTGCCTTTTTCTGATATTGTTGCCTTTTGGTTTTGAATTTGCAATAATAGCCTTGCAAACTCCTTTGCAGCACATTTAATTTTAATTTCATTACATACTTCTTACCATGGTTGTATTTTAGAGATGAATATTTTTCAGCTAATGTAAATTATTTTTTTTAACACAATCTAGCAAAAATGAACTTTTGATTACTTTTCTTCATGAGCAGGAAAAAGAAAAAAAAGAAAAGCTCTGTTACATCAATGCTATTATATCTTTACCATAGCTAATTCTCTTCTACTATTTGCTTGCTTGTCAGCCCTTTGTTAAGTTCTATCAATTTCCACAAAGCATTTCAGCAAAATTGATGTGCATCAGAGGACAGGTATGCATGAACCATAGTTTTCTTTATCTCATTTGTTATCAAACGGTCATAAAATTGTTAAGTATGTAATCTTCCTTAACCTTTTTCTTTCTTCTTAGCAAGCAATTTGGTGTTGATTTCTTGCTAGAGAATGTAATAATTATAGGCAATATGTAGCAGGTGACTTTTGTTTCAAGGCGTCTTTATAAAAATACATGCAATGTCACTGGTTCATGCATAATCAACCATTGGTGCCTGAGCTGGTATTTGAAGTTCATGTGATAATGCTTTTGTTTCAAAGCATGTGAAGAGGAAATTCCCCCATAAAACTTTTGGGTGATGCAAGGAACCAGACGAGGTAATCTCTTTTTTTTTTTTTTAATTTTTATAATACATGGAGCTAAGTAATTAGTAGTTTGGTGTTTAGGCATATATATGAGTTTTGAAGTGATGTTTTCTAACTGGTTGCTATTGTGATGTTGTGAAGACAGGAACTGGCTTTTAAGGCAAGTAACTTGTGGGATGTCATTTGCCAACAAGGGAGGTTACTAAAGCATTTTGTATCTCTTTGTTTCTTATGAGAGATCCGCTCGAAGGAGATTGTCAAAAGAAGCGTTATCATTCGTTCTTCATACATGGATCATCCGTTATTGAAATTAAAGTGTAACTTATCCATTCATCAGCCTCATCTGTGAAAAAGTCAGAAGTACTTCTCCAAGCAACAACCTAAGAGACAGTTGCAATTTTTTGTAATAACACGTTTGAATGAAAAATCTATGTACTCATTATCTGATTGTGGAACCCAAGCGTAATTGAGTCATTCAGAAGTTTGAATTTTTTAAGAGTACCAGATTTTGGACTTTATTTACATGTACACGCATTAAATGATTTTTATGTTTATTTTTTACTTGTACGATATTCAATAATTTTAAATTTTAAATTTTAAATTTTAATAATATGTAATTTTTTTTCTTTTGATATTTTGTACCGAACCCTATGAAGGAATTGAGAAAGACATTGATTGATGAACCGACCGAGTAAAACTTGCTTTTGTATCAAAAAGAAAAAAAATAGTATCTTGCTTAAATATATATTCAGTCAACAAAATCAGCCAATAACCTTATTGCACTATACAACTAATCATTCACACAGTTTCTCTTTACCTTTTTTATCAAATGATGAAAACTCAAGTATCTTTTGACCCAAAAGAGAGAAAAACAAAACTTTCACAATTGGCTACACTCAAAAGCAAACCTAATAAAGAGGAAGCAAACAAAAAACCCACCTTCCTCTTACTCCGAACATAAGTCACTCTTCCTTGACAAACACTCTCCTCCGAAGTCCCAAGTAACATTTCTCTCACTTTCACGTGTCAATGGCTCTCTCCAAACTTGAACAACCATCATCACCAGAAGAACCACCGTCGCCATCCCATTACTACACTACTTTACCATCCCAACCTCCTGATCAAAACTACGTCGTTTTACCCTACTATCGCCTGGGGGGACTCCACTGGCGCGGTTGTCGGATACTGTGCACGGTTTCCTTGGTGTTGTTAGCTGCCATGGTGTACATTTTCTGGCCGTCTGACCCTGAAGTTAAGATTGTACGGATGCATGTAAAACGCATGCAAATTCATACAATACCTATCATTGCTCTAGATATATCTTTGTTGATTACTTTGAAAGTGAGGAATTCGGACGTGTATTCCATGGACTTTACCAGCTTGGACGTGGCCGTAGGGTACAGAGGGAAGATGCTGGGACATGTGAAGTCGGAGCATAGTCACGTGAGGGCGATGGGGTCGTCTTACCTGGAGGCAGAGCTTCAGCTTAATGGGGTTGAGGTGTTGTCCGACGTTGTGTATATGCTGGAAGATTTGGCCAGGGGAACTGTCCCCTTTGATACTGTTACGGAGGTTGTAGGCTGGCTTGGTCTGTTCTTCTTTAAGTTCCCTTTGAAGGTAAAAAAGCCAAAGCTTTTTCCTTCTAAATTATTATATTTGCTTTCTTACAACCTTTGATTCGTCAAGATCTACTTTCGTGTATGTTAAGATTTGGCTTTTTAGCTGAATTAAGCTTTATGATTTGTTTTTGTCATGTTGATTGCCACAATCATTTGTTTCCCGGGAAAATTTTCAGTTGGGGGGATAGCTTAAGCAACTAACCATTGATTGAACAAAAAATGGCAGTATAATTTAAGCAAATTCTGTTGCTCGGTAGTCCTTATATTCAATTTGTCATTCTTGAACTTTCATGATTAGTCTTTCGAATCAAGGTTTTATATGTGACTAATTGCTTCAAGGAAATTAATTAGGCCTTTCCTGTCTAATTAAATACTATAGCTTGCAAGCTGCAACTTACTGTGCTTCCTATGGGTTAGTGATTGAGGGAATTTATAGTCCAATAGTTTCTTTTTCAAAAGAAACTTATTGATATGGAAATCATTGGTTAAAAACTCAAGTAAAAACGTTTGCGAAATGATCATATTACATTTTTTTGGCACAAAAGAGGTTGCAGTTGGTATAGGGAAAGGGGTTTAGGTGTTGGAATTTGAACCTAGACCTGTTGGATATCATCTTTTAAGGGTGTTAAACTCTGGGTTCTACATTTCATATTCCATTTTGACCACAAGATCTATGGTCGTAAGTTTTGGAAGTTTGGAACAAACATAATGTAGATTGATGATTTCTTGTTTTTGTGTTGCTCCTCACAAGGCGGTTGCAATTGAACACCCTCACTTGAATTCGTCAAATTAACCGTTGTGTTCAGAAATACAATGAACAGAGCTGAGCATCAAGCATTAATGTCATTTTCTAAGTAATTTTGTTACTTGTGCATTATCTTTATCATTTCAGCACCTAATTTTTCAAGGTGAATTCTGTTCTGTTTCATGATTTTAGATTCCTCTTTATTCCAATTATTCAACAGGCAAAAGTATCATGCGAGATTGTGGTAAACAGAACCTATCAAACCATCATACGCCAAAATTGTTACCCTCAGGTAAGGATGTATCAAAAAATTATGTTCCTTTTCTTCTGAGTCATAAGTTGTACCAAAGTTTCCTGTTTTTATCACAGAAAACCTGATGCATTTCCAGGGACTTGTACACTAACGTCCTAACATCTTTTAAAATGACTGCAATCCTCAATGTGAAACATCTGCTATTTTTAGACTGCTAATGATACAATGTTCAGTTGTTGCTCCGAATTCAAAACTTCAAAGCCCCACAGCCATGCAATTACAGGGCAATAGTTGGCTAGATAGTTGATTGATCAAGCCCTTCTTTGGGAGGGTCTACAAGCAGTTCATTTCCAGAAGTAATGGTGTATCATCTGTTTTGCTAACTTGTGTTCATATATCAGAAATGAACTTGGAAGTGCTAGCTGGATATCAGAAATGAACTCGAACGCATTGGATTGGATTGCATGAGGTGCAGCAAAAGCTGAAAAATTGACCAACCCTTATTTGTAAATCTTGAAACAGGTTTGGGAGAGTGAGGTTTGAAACTTCTGCAGCATATCATGATATTGTAATATAGCAGATCCTGTTTCCCTCATACTGTAAGAATGGATCAATCTGTATAAAATGGATTTTACTATAAGCTTATGAACTTCTAATAGTAAAGTAGATTCTATATATCTTGTGTAGGGCTGCATGGAAAATCTACTTGGTGTATGAGATGCACAATTTCAATCTCCAAACCACTAAAAAAAACTATAATCTTTTTAGTAGGTGAGCTGGTGGCCGCTGCCCGCAGGCTCACCTTTAAGATTCCTTATCAAACTAGATTTTGAATATAGTATTCACCCATCAGAGCACTTTGCTTGCCACAGGCTGAGGCATGGAAGATCGCATTTTTTGGGCTCCACCAAAGACAAATCTATCCATGGAAAAGATGTCTGGGCCTAGGCCTAAAGGAATTCACCTAATCATACCAAAAGAGTGTTATTACCTTGGGAGTTGAGCCCATTTACAAAAAGCAACGGGATTTTTTTTTTCCAAAATATGTAAAAAATAATCACATGAAGATAAGACAATACTGCTGTATATATTGATTAAACATAGCAGAACTAGTACCCAATAATTCGAATAGGTGAATAATTTTGCAAATTTTGCCAGTCAAGGCATTAATGACACAGTTAGCTGTTTTAATAATAACTTATAGTAGTAGACCCAAAGGAACATTAAAAAAACTGACCATCACATGTAGCATAATTTCAGGATCAACTTACTGCAAATACCATCATTACAAATCAAATATGATAAGTTTAATTAACCCTGAAATTTTGGTTTACTTTTGGAAAAAATTCCATCATTTGGGCATCATAGGATTTGACTTTGAAAGCATGTTACTTTGTATAAGTATCCTACTGCATGTACCCGTAGGCTTTACAGTCTTGCCTGAACAAGATCCAAAAAACCACAAATTCTATTTTTTTTTAATGGAACTCAGCAATTGGTGCAGCTCAGGCACCCAGGAGTTGAGATGGAGCCAAGGCTATGCAAAAAGCCGGTATGACCGGATGCTTTCCGTCAATGGGTTGGTGATCAGATCAAAGCTGCCAAGTTGGAGAATGCTATGGAGAAAGTTGATGAGGGAAAAGAAGAAGATATTTGATTGTTCATCGAGTACTCGGGTACACGTTTCTTATGATCCTTATACATACGCACAGAATTTTGATCAGGGCTTGATGTCAACGGATCCTGATGACCTCTCCAGGTCTTTTTCAGCTAGGTTTGCTGTTCCCTCAAGGGTTTTTGAGTAGAGTGGATTGGTAGGTTGATGCAAGTTATAAGATAAAAATAAAAGAAAATGGTTTGTATTTTGACTTTGATGTGATAAATCAATTAATGTTAGATTCACTAAATCCTGATGATCTCGTTCTCTTCTTGTACTGATGATGCCATTTAATCTTCTTCCTCTTCTTCTTTTTATTGCCTCTTTACTTCACCTTCTCTCTTTGATCATTAGTAACTGAAGATATGCTTTAGAAGTGATCACATTTCTTATCTGAACCTTTTAGTATTGAAAAAGTTGAAGCAAACCCATTCTAGCAAAAGGAATCTTAAGGGCATTTCCTTTTTATTCTCTTTAGAATTAAGGGACATTGGCAATATTATAAACAATGATGAATGATGATCAAAATAGTTTTTAATCTTCAAATGGGGGATTATCGTACTTTATTTCTGTAGCTTGCAGGAATGCTTTGGAAAAAATAATAAGTTGAGGTAGTTGAAAACTGAATACTGTTAATCAACTAACAAGCTTTCCTCACTTTTATAATGAAGAAGCACGTTGTTTTTTTCGGACTAGAGTAGGCAAGTTGAGTCACAATACAACATATTTTTAGCTGTTAATTTAAACCTTTAAATAAAGCACATTGTTAACCTTCTACTGTGTTTATACTACTAATTAGGGTTCATTTAGCAGTGTGGTGCGAGAGACACAGTGCCACAGCTGCATTTTATGACTAATCTTGCTATGCTGTCGTTTTATGAATGAACCACAACTGTGGCGCGGTGTGAGTCCCTATGAACCTTAAGAAAATTATTTTAATCATGTTGATTAGTGGCACAAAACTTGCCATCGGCTAAAGCAACATGACCAGCTGATCTATTTATTGTTAGAATGAAAGTCATGGTCATCTACTTGCTATATAGAAGTAATTATTCGACTACTGCAATTCCAGACCTGTAAAAATGATAGGATTCCTTTTAGGGTTGGTAACAGAAACATCTTTCCTTTCTCTTTTCCAGTATGGCTCTAGTTTAAAGCATTAATAGTTTGAAAATGAAATTTGGAAAAAGTAGTTTTGATCCTGGTTTCGACTCTCACCTAAAATTTAATTTCTTACAGTGAAAATTTATAGCAATCATTTCATTGTACAACTGAAATTTTTTTTATATTTTCTTTTCATTTTTTAAAAAATAAACCTTATCTTTTTGGGATTCTTCTGGTATGTATGGTTAACAGTATATAACAATTTAACAAATCATGGTGCAACCATATCTTCTTACATAAGGACCCAGCTGTCTCATCAGTGTGTCCTGGCAACGGTTTAGGTCACATGCTCGAAAAAAATGCTGAAATAAGGCCCAGTGAAAATCTAAGTGTCATTTGGTGCATGGCTTGGCTCCCTTTCTTCTGTCAAAAAGCTGAGGCCCCAGTCTTTCTCTGTTGATTTCAATTGCAGACCCTATTGAAGCAGATAACAATAACAAATAAACGTGCATAAATGGATCATAAAAATTAACCATGGTTCAATGTTCATTGGTTTTAGGCCCATTCAACCACCATAACCAATAATTTTGGAGGGATAATAAGAAAATGGAGACTTCAAAAAACAAGTGTAGTGACTATCTGAATGCTACAAATTTTTATCGATTATATAATACGATGCGAAAAGCCCCGGTACAGATTCAGATCAGATATTCTCCACTGCAATTATGGTGCTTACCAGAATTTTTGTTTTTTACCAAGCCATTCACCTAGATATATGAACAGGATGGGCTATATGTTGTTGTCAAATTCACTGATATGCGATAAAAAGTTTCCCTTCTCATTTCCTATATAACTTTAAGTTAATTTATGACAGACTTCTTGGTGGAGCCTAAACATCCAATGAGAGAATAATGATTCTAGGTTATTAAATCATCCAACCAGAAAATGGGGGCTGTCCTTATAAGTTGTATTATTGTACTGCGCCTGAATTCATGACTCATGACACCATCTTGACCAAAAGGGAAATAAATGTCTTGAAAGCCTCAAGGGCCAAGACTCAACTACTTTGGTTGTATAAGTCCCCTGACTGGACCTTAATGAGGCATGGTCCAGGAGTGAAGGTAGCACAAAATTCTCACAATTACCCAGAATATGTCTGCTCTGAAGCTATAACTTAAAATGAAGCTTTGGCTGCGGTGTATATGCTATAGCTTCATGGAGATCTTACTCACTGGTTGAAATAAAACCATTTGGCTTTAGATAAGTTAGAGTATAGTATAGAACTTTGCCAACCAAACCAGCTTGAAATCACAGGATAGAAGAGAACTCCTATCCTTTGATTGCAAAGCCTTGAAAACAGATCTTTCTTTAATTGCTTAGCACTGGGCAGGTGGTTGTTATGTAAAAGACAAAATGAACTTTGCATGAATTCTTTGGCAATCATGCCTCAAGGATATGGTACACAGTTGGTCCAAAAAAAAAAACCTGCCTTGGTCCCCCTTTCCATTAAATGAAATCTCAAATACAAGAGCGATGGCTTAATCCTTAATTCAAGCCGAAGTAGCATCAAGATTGAGAGCTTGTAACCAACCTAGATAAGTCATTCACCAATTCCACCTACAACAGTTAATGAATTTTATGCCGCAGGACCTTCCCACATGGAGATTCCGGAAATAAGGCAAAATTTCAACAAAAAGCATGTGCATAAAAGAGTGGCAGTCACTCCCAAGCTCCATGGAATGTGAATTCAGATGTTAGGGAAAAGCTGAGTGTAGTAGAAAGAGGATATCCTATACATCTAGGCAGTAAACCATAAAAGCTCTTCTTTCTGAAACACTTGGACTCCGCAATCACCAGCTCATCTTTAAAAACAAAAATCTAGTTTATCCATGTAAGCTAAATGACAGATATGCTAGATGGCAACTTGTCACTCACAACACAAGGATGATAGACATACCTGATTCAAAATCGAAAGATAACAGAACTTACGGTTGAAAGTCCATTTAAGTAAAAATTACTAGTTTTGATGTGGAAAAGAAATCTTCTGATTCTATGCTTACAAATTATAAACAGATTGGAAGCAAAGGTCATAGCAACAGAAGAATATGAGCTTCAGTTGAATACTGTGACAATGAATAAACATTGAATTGAAAAAAAGAAATTGTTTCTTGGTATCATTTGCTGAGACTGGAGTAGAACAAATTGTATCATCATGCAACAAAAGCTACATTAGAGAAAGGCCACAAATGACCACCACTGCATAAATGCTGCAGTCTATGAAAAGTGCTCGGATTGTCTGATAGACCACTAAACCTCTCTCCAAAAGCTTAACTGCTCCTTCCCAGTTACGTTTATTATTTTGACATCCAGCTTTTTCTTCCTCAGCCTCCTCAGAGTCTCCTTTCTTGTCAAGAAACAGTCGGCCAAGCACAACTGTCAAGTCAGTCAGAAAAATTATGTAAAGAGGCCTTGAGGCTACAATGCTCTCTGACCTGAAAATGTTCATTCCAAGCAGGGTATAATCACTATAAGACAGAAGTACAAAAAGTGCTATCAGTAGGGCACAAAAACTGCGTGTTCTCTCTGAAGCTATAATGCAGGAATTCAGTCGTTTGGAAGAGAAAAAATCAAGTTGATTCTTGCATGGTTTTTGGAGTGAATCCGCATTGGACGATGCCTTTTGAAGTGATGATGTCTCCTTCAATGGCTTTAATTCATCCCTTTCTCCCACAACAATAGCAGAAATTGCATCCTTATCAGTCCCCGGTTTCTGCAATTTTAGCCCAGATTGGCCGCCAACATCAAGGGCGTTTACACTTGAAATTTCATACATACCACCGTGTTTAAGATAACTAAAACTAGAGGCGTCGCCCACTCCCACAGGTCCGGCTGCAAAACCAATTAAATATAATGAAGGTGTAATGTCATGTATCTTCCATGTAACATAAATAACGACATGATCCTATAGCGCTATTGATAATTAAGATACCACATTCATCACTTTCTTATGCAGCCATGGCATAGGAAAATTTTGCCGAAGTTAGACTTTTCGATATGGTAATTCCATGGTCTATGAGACTGATTGAGGAAAGGCTGTTGACAGTTTTGTGCCTAAGAGAAAAAACTAAAATTTTCAAAACCTCGGTCCATGAACTAGCCAAAACAGATGCACAGACTTGTGGTTTTGACTTGGTTCAAATTAAGTTGTAAAGTTCGAAACAAATACTATGTTGCAGGTAGGTTTTTTTCTTTTCCTAGAGAGCACTGATTTTATAGATACTAGAGCAGCATTGATCTAAACACTACCAGAGGCATTCCAATTGTTTAATTTCAAACAGGTCTTCAACGTAGCTGACAGTGGCAATAAAAGACAGATTTACAAAATAAATCCAGCTATACTAATTGATACCAAGTGATGAGAGGACCAAAGTAAGTTCAGGCTTGGTAACATTCCTTTGATTACAGGAACAGCCCTCTTTGATGCTCTTAGAGTGTTACACAATCAGGTTTGCGAACTAGTTAGGATTAAACTTGAAAGCACTGATTGTGAATTGGCTAGAAAGGTATTATTGAGCATAAAATCATAAATCGCATTCCCTGTGTACATAGCATTGCACCCAATGGCCGTTTATAAAATCAGCTTTGACATAGGAAATGGTTATTTATCATTACCTAAGAGCTGGAAAATAAGGTCAGATTGAAAGAAGGTTATCATAGTGTAGCGAATGCTTTATGCTTATGTAGGTTTGTAATAGGTTTGAGGACGAAAGCAATTCTTAAAATTCAAACTCTCTTTCAAGGCTAAGTACATTTGGTATTTGGTCACATACTGAAAGGTTTTAATTACCTAAAAGGAAGGTTAGTGCTGTCAAGAACATGGCCAGATTAAAGTTGTCTTGTTTAATATGCTGTCCAGACGAAGCCGTTAAATGTTGCATACATTAAACCGTTATTTAGTAACAATTGAATATCTTTTGCATTGAGTCGAGATGAATAAGAACCAAGCACATTGCGTACCACTGACATGACCAGAGAGATGTGTTTGTGGTGCCTGATGGTCGTTGGAGAACAATGCATGATGATTAAGAATTGGAGGATTGCTTTGAGTTGTGACGCGAGACGTGCGATTCAACCCTCTCTCCCCAATTTTCCTCCTTTCATCTCTGGCTTCCTCGCTCTCTGCATCAAAGCTCTTTTTCTTTGCATCTGTCAGAAAACTGGGTTATGGTTACAATTCCTTACAAGGTACAAGCATGGTTGTTTTATCTCTCGTTTTTTATTCTCTTTCAAGAAGCTCTTAAATTCAAGCGTTACTAAGCCAATAAGCAGGTTTTCTCATTATTTTCATTTCATGGTGTCGAAGATTCAGTGATTAAGCAAATAACTTTGAAAGTCTCAGTGAGTCAGGTAGCAAAGAACAGATGAATAGAAGAATTGACATGAAACAGGCCATGAATCCAAAGAACGCATCTTTTTAATGGAAACAAAGGCTCGTATGACCAGTTTCTCTTTCAACTTTGTTTTGCAGATTTCACCTTATGAAGCTATAAAGCAAACCCCATCAGCCCATTTCTTTTCCCTCTACATTGTGACCAATCGATTACCAAGAATAAGAAACAAAAGCCAATTCTCCAAGCTTTCACAGAAACCTAAAATGTTGATCTAATTACAATGGAAACCCATCAAACTAAGATGGTTTTATAGAGCCATTAAAGTAAGAGGTTACCGTTGGTTTGATCAAGGCATTGTGATTGTGAATGCTGATGATGATGATGATCGAGAGGAGGTGGTAAAGAAGATGAAGAGATGCTTTGGGCACGCCCCGAGATGTGAGACATGCGATTTAACCCTTTCTCTGACATTCTCCTTCTCCTTTCATCTTTCTCGTTACTCGTTGCCATCTCTCTCTCTCTCTGGCCTCCGCTTCTGATCTTTTCTTTCTTCGCGCCTTTCATAAATGTCAGTTAGTTATTCTGTTAGCAATTCTGAGAAACGTGTCGCTTCGTCCTGCAACCTCCGCATTTTTTTTCCCATACTAATAGTATGACTCAACAATCAAGGAACAAAGTATGGAGATTTTGACTTTGTCATTCCCCCATTTGTTCAAAAAACAGAGGATGGTTAAAATTGAGAAACTTATTCAACTTCAATTCCTTAACAAAAACGACCGAGTTTGAACCAGGATATGGTCACAACTCACAAGAATATACCCTTTAAAACTTAGACTCGTCAACTGGTACAATTTGATTTTGGCTTTTGTTTCTTTATCTCACCATGGCTATCAGTTCGATCTTTTGATGCACAGCTTGACATTAATAACAGCAGTCTTTTTACAAAGAGAAGGGGACAGACGGTGTAGTATATATGGTTTTTAACTATAGATTTACCTTTAAATGTATCCATAAAAGGAGCGTTGATTAGTGTCTTTCTTGAATTTAAAATCGCTGTTGAAATCACACTTAACTTTTATCACTTTTACTTTATTAAGCCCACATCGCTCAGATAATAGTCTACTAAAGCGCTGGACCTATAAATACAAAGCAAGCTGCAACATTTAAACATACTTACCTGGACAGGGTCAATGGGTGATCAAGCAGACCCATGGCCTAGGGCAGTGACTTCCATTGCACTAGGGAGGGGTGCTGCTCTAAGGTCTCCCCAAGCGGGAGAGCCTACGTCATAATTTGTGGCAACGGGGCCTGCGTTCGCGCGGCCCCTACCAAAGAAGTCTTAAGTTGGTTCTGTTGGCATATCTCATACTTAAACAATATTGCCCTAAAGGTTAACTCTTTTTGGCATTTCTAGTAAGTAGGTTCTATTGGCATATCATATACTTGAACAATATAGCCCTAAATGTACTCTTTTTGGCATTACCTAGTATTTTTGCAGACCTGAGAAACTGCAACATTTTATGACTTGGTTAGACGAGTTATCCCCAGGACTAAATCAAGAATTTATGTGATGAATTGGTTCTCTGGGCTTTGAATAATAAAAATGCTGCTGTGTATTTTAGACGGAGAGAAATGAGAATTTTTTGTATCTCCTTCCATGTCTTCAAACAAAAGAGTTACTCCATAGAAAGGCTTTAGTCTGTGATTTTGCAAACATTCAGCCCAATTTGTGGTAAATATAAAAAATAGAGAACATATCTAATGAATTAAAGTATAGCCAGATATATTAGTCGACGAATGGGAAGAACCACCAGAAGCTTCGCTCATCAAATAGGCAGATAATTATTTTATTTCTTTTTTTGATAGTATAAATATTCTATTTCTAAATGTGGTAGTAATCTATTGGTGGGATTAGTGCAAAACAAACTATTTCTACTAACACAGGTAAAAAAATCTGTGTATGGACCTTTTGTAGGATTTTGCTTAGATCCTCTTCTCCTTTACTAAATCTGTAGTGGAGTTTGAGGTTTTCTGATATCTCGAATCTTCTGCATAATTGGAGTTTTCCCATCAGTTTTGGAAATAGCTGTGAATGCCTTTGATGATAGTTGTTTTCTTTTTCACCCCTTTTCCAATTTCTGAAGCCGACATAACTGAAGCAAGTATCCTGGTCATATGGTTATCAGCAGAATTTACCACCAAATCTGGTCAGATATAAGTTGTATGGTACTTATCATGAATATGATTATGAGTTCAGTTGGCATTGAGATTGAGCTGCATTTGATCGTAGTTGTTAATTTTAATAGAATATGTAATGCCAGATAAAATATAAAAGTGAATTCGTTCTGAATTGCAAAAGCATGCAAGAAATATATTGTGATCACCTTCAATCACAATCCTTTATCACAATCACAATACCAAGTTGGACCTAAACAATTATGTTTTATTCCACATTGGCTAGTGAACAGCATGACAATTCTTGCATCTGTTATAATATATTAGCAAACGCAATGCTTAGGACATCTTTGCGCTTGGGGCAATGACGCAGCTAGTGAGGTTCTGACCGAGGCGCGTCTATTGCTGGTTGAAAACTATTTCCAAACCCCCTCTTAAGCCTGGGTTGAGCCCTGGCCTTTTCATTTTCATTAACTTTATATAGTTCTGTTAGCTCCCTCCCAACTGAATGACAGAAAAACAAAGTTCCCAACTGAATGACAGAAAAACAAAGTTACTCCTACTAACTACTAATTATTTCTTGTATTTTCAGCACAGTTCCCCTATCTTGAATCAAGATCAACATGGCAGACGCATTGCTCTAAAGGCTTTTCTTCTTGGCTCTGCTGATCCACAAAGTAAGACTTTAGGTTTAGTTCAACAAGGCTAAAAGTTTTCACTTCGCACTATTTTCAATTGCAATTCTGCGAGCTGATTTGTGCTTAAGCGCACTATGTTGAACTAATGTTTTACTAGGGACAGCAAATGTTCATGTATATATATTATGTATATAAATTATATTTTCACCCTTGGACTTAAATCAAAATAAATATTTTAAATCTTAGCTATTTTAATCCAAAAAAATAAAATAACACTTATACCGGTGTGAATGGATCCTTAATCTTTTTTCTAACTCAAATATTATTATGAAAAGAAAGTTATAAGTTTGACTTAAAGTTGACTTTTTTTATCTCAATACAATTATTAATTATTATTTGGCACTTAAAGACACTTAATAATCTTAATCATAGCAAGTATATAGCTTAATAATTATGTAATTCAGAGAGGTTAGTGTTTTTATCCTCAACTGAAAAAAAAAATAAAACATCTAAAATAATCACATAAATGTTGGCTAATATACAATCTAATGAAAGATATCATAATTGATTAGTGTCATATTTTCCAACGGTTACCAATGCCTTAGTAATTGCCATTGAAATAAAAACGTGTTTATGAATGTATATATGGCTTCAGGCATGTGCCCATGGCATCAATTTAAACAAAAAATTCATGGCTAATACAAAGTTCTAACGTGTAAAATTGAGCAGAATTATGTGGTGATTGACAGAATTAAAGCAAGGCACAAAAATGGGTTTAAGTCAGACTGCAATGTGACTATCTCAGCTAGATGAACACCAACTGAGAACAATCCTCTACAGCTTCAATCAAATTAGATCGACCATAGTTGACGTATACCATGAAAGCAAAGATAAAAAAGGCAAAATATAAACAAACCTTTATACATTACACTGGATAAGGGCCGCGCGAACGCAGGCCCCCATTGCCACAAATTATGACGTAGGCTCTCCCACATGAGGAGACCTTAGGCCAGCACCCCTCCCCAGTGCAATGGAGGTCACTGTCCTAAGCCATGGATCTTCTTGATCGCCCACTAACTCCGTCCAGGTAAGTATGTTTGAACGTGGCCACTACATACCCTTTTGTAGAGCGAACCACACTTTCCTTTGCTGTTCGATTTCGAGATGGGATTGAGTAAAGCTTTAACTACAGCTCTTCTCATTATCGCCTGGTCTCGTGGATTGGTGAGACAAAAATGCATAGCAACAAATTAGTATGACCAATTTGAAGTTGATAATAATCGATTTCTTCGGTTTATTTCAGCAATTAACTGGTGGGACATATGAACATCAAGAAGTTCCCCTCAACTAATTCTAGCAAAAGCCCCTAAAACCTCACATTTGATCACTCCTAGTCTTATAATATGTTGTTTCTATCGGATTTCTTGCAAAATTTAAGCAAAAATAATAATTGCTTGCAAAATATCAGATTTATGATAGAAAACAGCTTTTGTTGCCTATGAGCTTTTAGTGTTTTAACTTTTATTTTGTTGTTAATGTTGAAGGATTCAAGCAACATTTTCCTAGTAATGATAGATAAAGGATTTCTTCACTTTGACAAAAATTACTTGTCTTTTAGAATCTCATGGTGCTTCTAGTAATGGATCTTTAATATCCCTTTCCATTTTAGTTTGAAATTTTAACAATTGTGGCATTTTTGCTAGCAAATCCAATAATTTTAGGGTTATAAAATTTTTAAAAGATACACTCAATGCAAATATTTATAACATTCTCAAAATTATATTAGATGAATATTATTAAAACATTTATGTTTTTAACAATTGATTAATGAAGTAAATAAAAGCATCAAGATAATATCCTTCACGACCCTTAAATTATTGAAAAATGTCTAATGTAATACCTCAACTTTCAATCCATGTATCAATCTATCCAATGACTTAACATCGTTAACAGAAATTAATGATGAAATCAATAAATGAAAATTTGACAAATGAGTAAATATTATACAACACACTGCTATTATGTGACAGTGATGCAATTATCACAAGTTATAATTAAAAGAACTAAAACTAAAACTTTTTAAAAATCTAGAAAAAAATTTTTAAATTTTCAAAATCTAATTTTTTAAAAAAATTAAAATATGAAAATTTTTTAAAAAATTTCAAAGTAAAAAAAGACTAAAATAAAAATAAAAGAGAATCAATCAAGGAGAGAAGAGGGAAAGGGAGACCACTGCCAATCTTCATGGTTCAAGAGAGATAGCCGTCTTATTTTTCTCATACAAGTAAATTGATGTCGATCACACCAATAACATTTTTATAATAGGTATTTGTATATCATAACTTATTTTTGCACATTTTTAGTCAATTTTACAATTCTAAAATTTGAATAAATAGCGACTTTGACACTTAGATACATACAAATAACAAATATGAATCTATATAACATAGAATTTCATTCATCTAATTAAAAAATTAAAACTATAAGTTGGACTATGCTTAAAAAAAAATTATGTTTTAGATTTCTATCGTCAAAATCTCTTAGCCATGATATCCTTGCAAGCTCTTTTATTTTATTTTTTTAAAATTCAATATCATGAGCATTTAGGCAAAATTTCTCATTGAACTTGCAAAAAGCCTTTAATAGACCGATGATAATGGGCTCCAAATCTTCAATATGTCACTCTTTTTCTGTGAATAGGCTTATTTCGAAAAGAATCTGAATCCAAGTGTCACTTAAACATAATTCCCA